CTTGCAGCAAAACCAATCTTGGTATCCCCGGGAGGTCCAGGGCTCGGAACCCCAATAATCCTGTTGAGATCGTGCGGTTCGCGGCGTCGGCGACGCGCAAGCCTTATGATTTCACCCGGGTTGTGGGGTTTCCTGGGATGCAAATCTAGAAGACACCGCGTGATTTTATTCGGATGCCTTGGGTTCCTGGGATGTCCAGCCCTAGAAAAAAAAACATGCAAATCTTGGGGTCACAGAAGGTCAGAACTGAAAATCACAGAAACCCCAATAATTCAAATGCAATCAGGTTTGCGCATCGCCGGCGTCGCGAACCCAACGATTTCATGCAGATTTGGGATTCTAAACCCTGGACTTCCTGGAGATCCCAAGGTTGGTTTTGCCCCAAGGTATGACATCCTCCTCCTCCTCCTCCTCGTCCTCCTCCTCCTCCTCCTCCTTCTCATCCTCCTCCCCTTCCTCCTCCTCCTCCTCCTCCTCCTTCTCCTCCTCCTCCTCCTCCCCGTCCTCCTCCCCTTGACGGGGACCCTGCAGCGGCCCTGTATATAGATCCGCCCGCGAAGCCCTGCGCTGACACTTCGAACCCCGCTGCAGCGCTCCTCCGCCCCCCCCCGCCACGACCACCTTCCGTGCGCCGCCCATCCGCGTGGATGCGCGCGGATGGGCTGGCGGGGGTACTTTTTGTCAGCGGCCGCGGGCGAACGCGCCGGCGGCGAGTCAGGTCAAAGCGGGCTACGCAGAGACTAACGCGAGAGAAATAAAGCAGAGGCAACGCGCGAGGCAACAGGTACGCGCCGGCCGAAGCCTCAGGTGGGTGGCTGAAGGGACTGAGACTGAGGGGCTGACGGGGCTACGCGAAGCGTCTCGAGCTACTCTCGCCTGCGGGTCTTCGAACTGTGAGTTTGGCTGCTCGCAAGAATCGTCTGTGCGGGGGGATTACACCGCCATCTGCTCAAAATCGACTGCGGTGCAATCTGCCGCCGCACGCGTCGTCCGGTTAGAACCCTGTATATTACGAAAAGGCACTCGCCCCTCGTCGCATCCATCCAAACGCAACGCCACCGCCCCCATCCCCTTCCCAATGTTCCCTCGCGACCAGCAAAGACGTTACCAAGACCACCCACAGCGGGGCTGACGAAGGCCTCTGGAGGGTCCGAGAGGCATCCCAGAGGCTCCCCAGACGGCACGTTCTAGCTTAACGCCAAGAAAGGTCACGACTTTTCCTCCGAGCGAAAGGGGGACAGGGAGAGGACGTGGTAGAAAAAACGGGAAGGGAGAGGGTGGCGGTGGATGGGGGCTGGGCCAGGGCAACGGACGATTCCCTCTTCTCCTCCTCCTCCTCCTCCTCCTCCTCCTCCTCCTCCTCCTCCTCCTCCTCCTCCTCCTCCCCCTCCTTTTCATCTTCCTCCTCCTCCTTTTCCTCTACCTCCTCCTCCTCTTCCTCTTCCTCCTACTCCTCCTTCTCCTCCTTCTCCTTCTCCTCCTCCGGGAGGTACCAGAAGCGAAGGGCGAAAGGCTGGGGTCGGGAGAAGGCACGGCGCTGCCCGCCCCATCCACGGAGGGCCCCGGCAAGAGTGACCACGATCCCGCCCACCCCCCCTTCACATCTGGCACAGAGTCGGCGGCGCGCAGAAGGGAGGCAACGGGGAGGGGGGGGTAAAGGCTTCTCAGACGCACCCCTGCTTCTTCGAGGGCGCGGGCCTCTACATCTGTAGACAAGGCCCGCGCCTTCTGAGAAGCAGGGGGCGCTTCTGAAAAGCCTTCCCCCCTCCCCCATACCTCGGCGGTGGACAATTCTCCCTTTAGTAGACCGCCCCTTAGTGAAACAAGCCTGGGACCGAAACCGACGGACCTGGACCCGCAAAAATGACGGCCGCGACGCCCTCTCGCGAACCCAAAACAGCCAATTCCTCAATCGACGTGTCAGGGCAGGAGGTCTGTCCAACCCCGAATGCCCCCCCTTCTGCGCGTGGCCGACAGAGGTTTGGAAAAATACAAGGTCGGCTGGACGAGCAGGAGGGAGAGAGTTGACGCCGGCCTGCCGCCGCTCCTTCCTCCCGCTCCCCGTGGGTTTCGGCCCCGCCCTCACCCCCCTTGTGAAGAGCGGGGAGGAGGGGACAATCCCTCCAGCCCTTTCGGGCGTCACTGGTTTAGGGCGCTTCCTCATCCAAACCCCTCCCTCCCCTGCGGGGGAGAGGCTTCCCGCTGTCCCCCATGAAACAAATCGGCTACACGTAAGAGTGACCCTGGGTAAGAGTGACCTTTGGTGCGTGGCTTTGGGGGGGCCGCGGGGAGGCCAAATCCAGGCGCGCCAGCCGCTGCTACCGCTTCGCGTTTGGCCGTCTGGGGGCCCATCTGTGCCCGCACCAAAGGTCACTCCGGCGAAAGGTCACTCTTACGTCCAGTCGAACAAATGCCCGCCCGGACCCGACCAGTGACAATCCCAGGACACTGCCCCCCGCTCCATGCCCTGCAGCACGGATGCGCGGCGCACCTCGCGCATAGGATGCACGACGCGCGTTGGCTCACGTTCGGGCGCCCCGCGATCGCTTTCCATACTTTTTCTGGCAGGGACGAGCGGGGTGCTGGCAGATTGCCTGCTGCGATGAGGCCACCACCTCTGTCAAAAAAAACAATACGACATGCAAGTCGTGGCGAGATCTTGACCATGCGCGGGCGCCCCGTGCTCACTGCGCATGGTTATTTGGCAAGGATCATAGCTGGCCATCGCTCGGACGTCCATGCCCTGTGCTTTTTTCGATTTCGTGCGTGTTTTTTTCGCCAAGTGATCAAGGATGCTCCTCGATGGTCCTCGCCGAAGGAAAAATGCACACGCCCGAGCGATGCCAAGATAGGGGGGGCGCTCTGGCACGCGCGGCGCACCTCGCGGGTGTCGCGCACCTGGCTGGCGTCTGCACTGGTTCCCCGGTGCGTGCCGATGGCTGTCGTTGTCTATGCTGCGACCCAGGTGCTACTTGTGTTGGGAGGGCAGTTGGGTGTGAGCGAGACAGCTTGCAGTTTGTGGGTCGCTGAATCACTGCTCCTTATTCATGTGCACCCCTCCCCCACCCGACCGGCGACAAACCTGGAACTATGCGCCCCCCCACAATCCCTGTCACAAAAACAATGCAACGTGCACTTTGCGGCAGACTGGTGGGTCATGGTTGGGGGCCCGCGAACACCTTGCACAGCACTGTGTATTGTTTTGGACAGGGACGGCGGGGGTGCCAAACATATGGCCTGCTGTGCGCAGGGCCACCATCCCTGCCAGAAGCAGTGCGAACTGCACTTCGCGGCAAAATCTGCATCATGCACGGGCAGTCCACGATCACTTTGCTTTGTTTTCTGACGAGGGCGGCGGGGAAACTGGCTCTTTGCCCTCTGCGCGCAGGCCCGCGAGGCGCCACGATGGTCACTGCGCCGCGATTGTGCGCTGGTTTTCGGCGAGGACGGTGGGGGCCGACATGTCTCCCGATGTGTGCGGGAACGCCTGGCACGCACTCTGCGCGTGCCCCGAGCGTGGCCCACCTGGCGCGGCTGGAGCATGCGGCACACTCGGCGCACGTGGAGCACGTCGAGCATCTAGCGCACCGGGCGTGCCTGGCGCCCATGGTACGCGCAGCGCGCCTAACACGCGTGGCGCACCTCGCCCAAGTGTCGCGCACCTGGGGTCTGTAGTGGTTCCCAGTAGCTGCCCATCCCAAATGTGATCGCTGAATCTGCTGAGACTCAGGCACTTCGTGTCGGGAAGGTGGGTGGGAGTGAGCCCAACCGATTGCGTCTGGGAGACGTGTCTTGACCCCTCCCCCTGCCCCCCCCTCTGGGTCTGGAAGGGGCCCCCCACGGGTCGTTGAAGCGTCCAAGATAGCTCAAAACGGCAGCCAAAGGGTCCCAGATAGCACAATATGGCCTCCAAGATGGCTCAAAATAGCGCGAGGTAGCTCAAGATGACTTCGAACATACTCCAAGAGGTCTCAAGACCGCTCCAAGACGAATTCAAGTTGCTTGGTAGCTTCCTCGGACGCCCCAACGAGGCCGAACTCCTTCCAACGCCTACAGAAGTCCTATGTGTGCCTTCTGATATTTGCCCAAGAGGGCCCCAAAACGGTCCCACAAGCGCTCAAGAGCACTCCGAGAGGGCCCCAAGAGGCCCCAATAGGCGACTTTAGAGGCCTCCTAGATGGGGTCCGAGTAGATGGGGTGGGAGGATCTCGCCGCATCGGCGATGCATCGGCCATGCACTGGCGACGTCTGCGATGCATTGGCGACGTCGGCGTGGAGAAAATTGGGCCCACATCGAGCCGCATCGCTGATCCATCGCCGATGCATCGCTGATGCACCGGCGATGCGGCGCGATCCTCCGACCCCATCTATTCCGACCCCATCTAGGAGGCCTAGATTCTTGAGTGGTTACAGAGGGGCGACCCCCCTTCTTTGATCGATGTCTTCCGAGATGGTCCCAAGAAGGCTCCCAAGGCCCCCACGAGGGCCCCAAGAGGCCCGTTAAGCCCCAAGAGGCCCCCTAGAAGCCGCCAAGACAAACCAAGAGGCCCCGAAGAGCCCGCAAGAGGCCCCCGAGACGCCCCAAGAGGCCACCGCGAGTCCCCGAGGAGACATCCCAGGCGACACCGAGAGGCATCCAAGAGGCCTCTGGCTCAGCGAGGCTCCCCGAGGTATCCAAGCGGTGCCACGCTCCGCCGAGGAGGGCAGCTCCCCCGGGAATCGTTGCCCGATGGAGAACAAGCAGCACCAGCAAACTGAAACTTCCTCTCTCGACGCGTGAAGGATGAAGGTGCCCTGGGACACACAAATATAAATAGACACGAATACAAGGATTCACCACATTTTCCCATATTTTCTGGGTGTTTGGCTTCCCCCCCCCACCTTGCCATATTTTCCCATATTTTCGTCGGAATCGACGATTCATGGTGTACGTGTGTCTTCTTCCCTCCTGCAAAGGCTGGGAGAGGCCAGGGAGCAACAAACATGAAGAGATGGGGCACCAGGGCGCTCGGCGTGGCCGCCGAGGTGGTGGCCGGGCTCGAAGCTGTTGCCTCGGGTGCACTCGCATTGGCCACCGAGGTCGTCGTGCCCTCCGGGATCGATGCCTGCTGACTACCCACCAGGCCACCGTGACCCGACCCGAAGACCCGCATCTGACCCGAATTTCGGGTTGGGGGGGGGGGCGGGTGTCATGTGTTTTTACAAATCTTCCCCGACCCCCCCCCCACTGGAAAGGGAGGGCAGACTCTGGCCATCGCTCGGACGTCCATTCCCTGTGCTTCTTTTGGTTTCGTGCGTGGCTTTTTCGCAAAATGATCACGGATGCTCCTCGATGGTCCTCGCCGAAAGAAAAAGGCACACGTCCGAGCGATGCCAAGGACTGAAGCCTTCCTGGTTGGGTTTGGGGGTGGCTTGGTGGGTGGCCACCTGCGGCGGAGGGGTGCTCGGGCTCGCATCTGTGGCTTCGGGCGCCTCTGCAGCTGCCGCCGTCGGTACGGTGTCCTCCGTCGTGCTGGCCGGCTCCTCCTCCGCTGCTGGTGCGGCGGTGCTGTCGGCAGTCGCCGCGGCCGGAAACTCCGCCGCAGGGGCTGTGTCCGCGCTCGCCTCGGGCTCCGCCGCAGGGGCTGCGTCCGCGCTCGCCTCGGCCACAGCTTTGGTGACGTTCGGCGCCGAAACAGACCCACTCCCCGCTGCTGCCGGAGCGGCCGCCGTCCCATTTTCTGGAAGACAGTCCAGAGGCAGATTCGCGCAGCACCACTGCATCTCCTGAGGACTGCTGCTTTTTTAAGCAGGCTCGCCCCATCAGCAATTTGGGCCACTGGTGTTGATATTCCTGTATGCGTTGACCTGGAGCCTGAACAACTCGAATCTTACCCGCTCCCTGCTGATGTGCGCTCTCTATCCTTTCTCTGCAAAACAAAAAGAAACACCGATCACGATTCCAAAGGAGTCGGAAACGCGTACGCTGTTGGGCTTGGACGGGCGCTCTGGAAGAGAACGGTGCACACAACGGACCTTCCTCACAACGGGAATCCGTTCACACGTGGCAGCGCTGGAGTCGGACGCTGGATGTTTGCCAGCGTGGACCACCAACAGTGGACGTGCAAGCTGTGTGGTGTGAGCCGTCTGGCGTGCCTTGTGCAAGCTGTGTGGCGCAGACGCTGCGGTGCACGCCGCACGGTGTCCGCGTGTGGTGCCAGCCTGTGTGGCGGGACGCCGTGTGGCGTGCGCCACGCGGCGCCGGCCGCGAGCTCTGTGGCGCAAGGCATCGGGCGCCCACGAGGCGCCCAACCCGGCGAAACCTCGCCAGCCCTGAGGACACCAAAAGGCACCGATACCGCCATGCTCCCCGGGACCTCTCCCGGGGTGCGCTCTGACCGGGATCTCGAGGCGAGTCCGGCGGCGGCGACGACGGAGGCCCAGGAGGCCCCCGAGAAGGGGAACACGAGGGGGGGGTAGAGGCACAGTCGGCCCTGATTGCACAGGACGCGCGAGAGGGCACAAAAGACCCTTCCGAGGGCCACGTGGCCACAGGAGTGTATACGAAGGCACGCGTCGCTAGGCACAGGACACGAGGGTACCCTTGAGCTGGCAGGGTCGACCTACTATTGAGTCGGGCCTGTCCCCCTACAGGGGTATTTTCGACGAAAAATAAGAAATACCTCAACAACATCAAAAATAGTCCAAACATAGTCTGGGGACTATTTTTGGAATATTGTCTGACCTTCTTGGGGTATTTTGGGGTATTTTGCATTTTTCGTTGAAAAAACCCTGTAGGGGCTGTAGGGGGACACGCCCGACATAAACCTACTAATCCGGGCCGGCTGTATGGGTACCTCTTCCTCCTCCGAAGCCCCCGCCCCGCCCGCGGGGCGCCCACGGGGGGGCGCGTGTATGGGTACCTTTAAGTCGGGCCTGTCCCCCTGCAGGGGGATTTTCGACGAGAAATAGAAAATACCCCACCAATAATAACAAATAGTCCAAAAATAATCAGGGGATTATTTTTCGAGTATTTTTACCTTTCTGGAATATTTTTGAGGTATTTTCTATGTTTAATCCTCCTGCAGAGGGACACGCCCGGCATAAACCTACTAATCCGGGCCGACTGTATGGGTACCTCGCCGTGGGCTGCCCCTCCTGGCGACTGCCTCGCCGTGGGCGCCCTCCAGGGGGAGTTAGCTATAAGGAGAAGGAATGGAGGAGAAGGAGGAGGAGGAGGAGGAGGAGGAGGAGGAGGAGGAGGAGGAGGAGGAGGAGG